GATTCCGGGGGTGACTGCCACTCGGGCCTGCGAGATCAGGTGAGAGCCCTCGGGCATCAGGGAGGGGAGCCTGGGCAGGGGGCGGGCACTAGAAGGGCCTACGCAAGTGCAGAGATGGGACCCGAGCTGGGGCCCTTTCAGCAGACCCCCCCACCCCACCCCCACCCCGCCCTGAGATTCCCAGATCCCCACAGTCCTGGGAGAGACCGTTTCCGGGTCACTGGAGAAGGCCGGTTCCAAGGCCATCATTCATTTGTACACTGTCCTGTTTTGACCAACCAGGCTGCCCAAAATCTTGGAGCCAGGGACAAGCCCGGTCAGGGATCTTCTGGGGTATGGGGAAAGGGTGTCCAGGAAAGGAGACTGAGGCTTAGGCGGGGGCTGAACCCCGCCCCCCCGCGCCCCCCCCTGGCTTTTCCTCTGAGCCCATCTCAGCTGTAAAAACCAAACCAAACCCGCAGGCGTAGGCGGTGAGGGTGACCACAGGGCCGAACTTGAACTTGGGTTCCGGTGTCTCTGCCCAGGTCGCCTGAATGGGGGTCGCCCTGCTGTGGGTGCTGCTGCTGCTGCTGCTGAAGCTGTGGGCAGCAAGGACCACGGAGGACGCCTGCCTCGTGTCTTTGGACCCCGGGAACTGGACGGCCCAGTTTACAAGCAAGTGCCTGAACTTCAGCAACCAGAAACTGACGCTGCCTGAGAATCAGTCTCTGCAGGCCAGCAACGTCGAGCTCTTGGACCTGTCCTCCACGGGCCTGCGCACGCTCCCGCCTCTCTTCTTCCAGAACCTGGGGTCACTAAGGTCCCTGATCGTCACTGGCAACCGGCTGGACCGCATCAGCGGCGCGCTGGCCGCACGGTGTGACCTGGAATTACAGGCCGACTGTGGCTGTGGCCTGGCGGCCTGGCAGAAGGTGCGGGCTGACAACTGCTCCGGCCAGCTGGCCCTGAAATGCCTGGACCTGGCCACGGGCACCTGGCGCAACCTCTCTGCCTTCCTGCAGGTCAGCTGTGCCCCAGGCCTGACCCCAAGCACTATTGGGGCTGTGGTGGCTGGGGTCTGTCTGTCCCTCGGTCTGCTCATCGCTAGCCCTCTGCTGGTCTGGAGGCTCCGGAGACACCAGCTGGCCAGTAGCCATGGCTTGAGACAAACCCAGACTGGCAAGGATGAGCCCAGGCACAGCTCAACCCGGCAGCCACGGTACAGCAGCCGGAGCCTCCACCCCAAGCCCCCGGTGGTCACCCCTCAGAGGCTCTCCACTCCCGACTATGAGAACATGTTTGTGGGCCAGCTGGCTGGTGGGCCCAGCACCCAGGCATACCACTGGGACAAACATGGGTGAGTGACCCCACACTTCTACTTCTAGGGTGACAAAAGCAGAGCTAAGAAACGAACTTTGACTCCTAGTCCTGTGCACCCCCTAAGGGGATTTCTGCATTTAGGGTAATTCACACTAAAGTGTGAGTGGCTGATAGGTTTGCTGCGATCCAAGTTGATTTGGATTCGAGGTTTATATAGTAATTCACACTAAAGTGTGAGTGACTGATAGGATAGCGCCATCCAGTTGATTCAGATTCAAAGTATATATATCCTGAGAGTATACATCTTCACTGGAGCAGCCAGCCTCATCTTTTCCCCTGAGAACGGCTATGGTGGGCTAGAACCATCGCTCTTGAAGTTAGCAGCCCAATGCCTTATCCACAGTGCCACCAAGGCTCCTTTCTGAATGACCGATAGACTGATAGACACCACTTACCTAAATGACATTTTCTCAGCAGAGCACATAGGATGTGCGGTGGGGTTAGGGTGTTCGGGGCACCCTCCTAGAGTGGTTAAGAACTTAGGGCTAGATAGCTCTGGTCCAAGTCCCTGACTCTGCATCTTGCAGAGCTGTGTGACCTTGGACAAGCAGCTTCGGGCTGAGTTTCCTCACCTATAAAATAGGGGTAGCAGCAAGCCCCTGCCTTGGGTGTTGGAGATAAGACTGTAAGAATCATGTGAGTTATTATAGAGGACCTGTTTCCTCCTTCACGACCCACCAACCCTGTTCTGGCTGCCAGGAGTGGTTGGGAGAGGCTCTGTGGTCACCAGCCTGGCTTCAGATCCCATGTAGCCCAGGGCTGTTTCAAAAACTCTGTTAATGCCTCCGGACAATGGACGCAGCCCTCAAGAACCCTCACTTGACTGTGAGGAGCCAGGGAGTGGAGGGAATCTCAGGGGTGGTCCAGCAGTGCCAAAGCCTGGAGGTGGCAATAACAAAGAATCTGATGTGAATGGCTGTTGAGAAAGAAAACTGGAGTGTTTATCTGTGCTGCGTAATTCATACTAAAGTGTGAGTGACTGAGAGGCACCACTTTGACCAAGTCATTTTTTAACAAGTGGAGCCAAGAGGATGCCCACAACACAAAGATCACCTGTGCCCCTCTTCCCCCATGAGGCCCCAATACCTCCAGACACTCAGCTTTCCCTGGCTGCATCAGGGAGTAGAAAGAATTTCAGGGGCCACGGCCAGGAGGTGGGAGAGGAGAACGACTCTGTTGTGAAGGAGTTTGGTGAAGGTGAGACACAGGACCAAGGCTGGAGGGGGCTGGGCGGATCCAGGCAGGAAGGGGATGTGGGCATGCATGGCTATGTTTAGGCAGCTGCGTCCACTTTTGGAGGCAGGGAGGTGGCTGGAGGCTGCTGCAGGGAAAGGAGAGTAAGTCTATGTAAAGCAGATGCAAATAAGGATCAAAGCAGAAGTGGTCTGTGGCGGCAATGGAAGGCACTGGGCTTACTCAGGCGGCAGTCTGTGTCTCGGGTGATCGCTCGCAGGCCCTCAAGGCCAGAGTCCCTGGGATCCCAACCTCCCAAACCACTCTGCTTAGAACAAGATGCCTTATTCCCAGGCCACGTGTTACGTGGCTAGAAGAGAAGCCAGGAGGAGGGAGGGGAGTGAAGACAACAGCAACCCTGACTCCCAGTCCTGCCCATCTCTCTCTGCCCACCACCTTCCCTTCCATTGACATGCAGGTTCACAGTAATTCATACTAAAGTGTGAGTGACTGCCAGGGTCCCACTTACCCATGTGGTCCTTCACAAGTGGAGTTCACAGGGTCTGGGACGGGGAAAGGATAGTCAAGAGGCAAGAAGATTCTTCTCTGAAACTTTGCCTCCTATCGTAAGACAGTCCAAAGAGGCTGCCCCCTTCCCAACCAGGCACCTCCCTGGTCACACTCGCCTGCCCTGGGTGCCGATACTCTTATTTTATCTCCACATCCTGAGGCAGTCTGCGGTTTCCAGGTACCTGTGAGTGCATTGCCCATCGCAATGGGCGGCCACCGTGAGGCCCCAGACGTTTGTGTGTCCCAGTGGCCCACGGGGAGTTTCCCAGGGGAAGTCAGAGTCCCCATCTTACTGTGGAAACTGGGGACTGTTTTAACTTTAAGGGGGCGGGGGCTGGAATCTCAAATGGCTGAAGGTCCTTGGGCTTCAGCTTTAAGGTGCTGACTCCACAGCCTCCCCCCTCCCCGCTCCCTCCCTTCCTTGGAGAAAGGCGGGCAGCCCTGCCCTCAGTCTCCTGGGCCATCAAGATTAGGGGAAGTGGGACCCAGCCGCCTTGAACTTTCTTAGCCTCTCCAAGCTGATGTCCCTGCCCTCTAAGGAGCCCCCTCCCGTGTTTCCATCCCCGCAGGACTCATTTTTCGGAGGATGACTTCTACATGAACTACGAGGGTGAGAGGCAGACCTCCCAGCCTGTCTATGGCAACCTGGGATCCCTGGGCCAGGCGTCTCTGGATGAAGAGGAGTACGTGATCCCGGGGCGCTGAATGGGACGTGGATTTCCCCGACCCCTCTAGTCCCTGCCAGGTGACTCAGGGAGGTCTGACCTCGGCCTCTTCTCCAGCCTCAGTCTTCCCATCTGCGGATGGGCAGGGTCATCCTGAGGTCCCCGAGAGGTTCTGAAGCCCTCTTCCCAGGCCCCACTCTGATCCTTGGCCCGCAAGGTCAGCAGGGGACGCCCCAGGGAGGGGACCGGGAGGTTGATGCGTGACCCTCACCAGCACGCGCCTACTTGTGTGCAGATGACAATAAACACAGCGATGAGAAGGCTGGCTCCCGGAAAGTAGCTTCCTCTCGGTCCGAGTTCCCCACCCTGGTCCCTTCCTGCTGCCCCATCTCTAAGAACCCTTGCTGTGTACCACGGAGAGATCTGACTCGGGGCCGTGCTGGGGGACCAATAAGAACTAGCCTGTCCTTTATGTAGGAACGAATCCAAGGTCTTTCCCCCTCAGGGAGGGGGGGGGGCTCAAAACCCCTCTGATGGGCTCGAACCGCTAGCCTTTCCATTAGTTAGCAGTGCACACTCAACCAGGTCACCACCAAGAGCCTTCTAGGAATCCTCCCATCCAGCCCCTCAGCGGTGCCCCGCCCCCTCCTGTCTTCAGGCCCTTGGCCTTCCTGCGGTCTGATCCTGCCCTGCTGGCCACACACATCCCTCCCCACCATCTCTTGTGTCTTGAACCTTCCCAAACCCAGCCCCCTCGAGCCTCTTGGTCCCTCGTTCCCAGGCTGGAAACTTCGAATACGCACGTAGCCTCTGGTCAGGGCGTCGGGAAGCTAGTCGGTCACTCTCCGGGCCTCGGTGTTCCCATCTGTGAGGCAGGGTGATGAGAGGCGATTGCTCAGGCAACATTCGCTCTGGTCTTCTGAGAAAACTTGACTTCGAGTTCAAGACCCAGGGACCATCCCATCTCCTCTGGAAGCCTCCCCAACCAGAGGCCACCCCTCCCAGAGTTTGTGCATTTCAGAGTTGGTTCAGAATTCGGCTTCAGCTGGAGTTCTGGCCAGCGGGCCCCAGGCCTGGCTGCCACAGAGCCCCCAATCTGGGGTTGACAAGCTTGACTTAAACGCCTTCGGGAGGTAAGGCCAGGCTGAGGTCTCCTTGAGAGCTGACTGAAGCTATCTGAGGAAGATTGCATGGACGAGGATAATCTGGACTGGGGTCTGTTTGTTTGTTTAATCATTTTATTGGGGGCTCGTACAACTCTTATCATAATCCATATATCCATCCATTGTGTCAGCACACGTGTACATTTGTTGCCATCATCATTCTCAAAACATTTGCTTTCTACTTAAGCCCCTGATATTAGCTCATTTCCCCCCTCCCTCATGAACCCTTGATCATTTATAAATTATTATTATAAATGGTCATATCTTACACTGCCCGACATCTCCCTTCATCCACTTTTCTGCTGTCCATCCCCAAAGGAGGAGGTCACATATAGATCCTTGTAATCGGTTCCCCCTTTCC